TTGACCTCAAGGTCAAAACCAATGGTACAATTGAATGACCCCCTCTGTCCTGGTCAACTTTTATCTAAACCATTTTTTTGTAGATACCGTAATTTGGAAGATATTCGGATCCATAGACTAAAATGACTCACCCTGTATATATATATATACTTGGATATGTCAGTACATCGATGGTAGGAGAGCATTCTTTAAAAGTCGTGAACGAATGAAGTGGTAACTGTTCTGTAGCACATAAGTCGACTTGTCACGAAATGGAAAATAAAGAAAAAAATTAATATTACACTTACCAATTCACATTCGCACTTATACATGCCTTCCTTTGCCTCTCGTCAAAATGGTTACTACAGAACATAACATGTAATATGCTCGTGTTCAATCAGCTCTCATCGCTAACTTTTGGCATGCGCGCGCAGACTTTTACCGCCACACTCGGGTGGCAATGGTCGGCCATGATGTTTCCATCTCTGCAATCTAGCTGTCATTCGCGTGGCAAACACGCAAACGTTTTTCATGATATCCAGGCGGTAAGAGCTTCTCTCTTGAAAAAAGGGAGACGATTTCCAGCGCCACCATATTTCCCGCCTCGGGATCCAAGAAGCGGTAAACTAAACATGATAAGAGAGGCGAGGTGTGATCAAATTTAAAAACCAACAGTCATTATGTAAAAATATGTAGATACGATGCGCTTCCTTCTTCCCTTCTTTCAATATATGGTTTCCGGTAATTTCATACCTTAACGCCATTTGCCAAATATACGATGCGCTTGATCCAAAATACTCTACCTGGAAAGACAATAGAAGACATCACCCATACAGCACAGCAACGTTGCAGCATCATTGTTTTGCAATATTGTGACATTGCAACAATGTTGCAAAATGTTGCTGCAATGCTACTGCAACGTTGCAACAATGGTAAAATGTCCGCTTGCGGCAATATAACAACGCAACTGTGCAGCAACATTGCAATGCAATATATATGTAATATTATTAATATGTTTTATTATACAAAGTAAAATCCCAGATAACACTCTTACAGGAATATTATACTAATAAATACTAAAAAATTATTAGTGATTATGTATTACTAGTAATTCAGTAATTTTTTCGTTAGTACTTAATTTCTGGTGAATATTGATAATAAAATCACTATTAAATATTGATAGTAATCAAATACTGAGAATTATTGTGCGAATGTGAAAAATGAGAAAATCATAATATTTAAAAAAATATATTTATAATACCTAATTTTCTTATGTCTCATAAACTACCAAGTATCGAAGATTGTCAATACACAACTCCAAACTTTCGTGAATCTTCCCTCGATAATTTCGATCCCAAGTGGTATACCACCCGTCACCCTATCATCTATGTCCTGACTCCGTTAAAGTGTTGCTTAACCTGACAATCGTACGGCACGCGGCGATTCCCAATGAGTCCAACGATATTCTTACGATTTGTGTTTATATAATTTATCCTTATACCCTTATAGAAATATCATACTAAGAATCATTGATAATTACTTATTATCCAGTATTTTTAATACTGAAAATAAGTAATTATCAATGATTCTTAGTATGATATTTCTATAAGGGTAGTGTTCACAGTATATTATAACATACCTAGCAAACATCAAATAATAGTTATATAACTTTTACTTGGTGTTCGTTGGATAATTTACTGATAGATATTGAAACAACGCAACAACATTCGATATGAGATGAATATTGATGTAATGTAATAAACCAGTAATAATTACTTTTAGATTTTTAACAGAATGTTATAATGATTAATCCAAACCAACAAAAAAAATCCAAGAAAATCCAAATTAAACAAATTGAATTACTAAATTTTGAAAGAAACTTTTATAAAATACTATTTAAAACAATAATGTTGTTTTATCAAATGACATAATTTCCTTGAAATAAAATTTTTTTATCATTTCAAAAAATAATATTTCGTTTAAGAATATAATATTTTAATGAAATAAAAAAAAAACCACAAAATTAAACAACTACGAATATTAAATCTAAAGAAATATTTTCTCCGAAAACACGATATAAAAAGTTTAAGAAATATATAATAAGACAAATTCTAGCATTAATGGCTGCCACTAACAAGAACTACTCTAAATACTATTCTATTGATGTCAAATATTACTGAATTTGAAATGTAAGTAACAAAAATAACTAATAAACAAGTAAAAAATATTATATTATATTCGTTATATTTCTGAAATAGTGCTGAAATATTGTTAAAGTAATATTGCAAATTAATGTCACTGCAATGTCTCTGCAACATTGTACTGCAATATGTAATCTTGCAACGTTGTAGCAATGTTGCTGCAAGCTTCTGTGCTGTATGGGCAGTGGAATCCTATGTATCATAAAATTGAGTAAAATTATAAAAGTGAACGAATTCATTATTGTTGACCAATGATATTGTAAATATTCTAATAAATTTGCTGTTATTTGTGTTATTTTCACTAAGTTGTATGATAGGCTGTGTTCCAAAATTCAGTATTGAAAAGTTGTATAGTTTATGTTACATTATATTATAAATTTTTTGGCGTATCAGTAATTTTGAAACATAGCCGAAGAAACGTGCGTGACTTATTTCATTCGTAGACATAGTACGGAACAGGGGTCTTATGGCTCCTGCACACAGGACGCGATAATGCTTGCCGTGCGGCGGAAGTCCGCGGGACAACCAATTAGTATGTTGTTTTTCCGTAAGAGCTAGAAGGTTATTACAGAAAGCAGCATATTGATTGGCTGTCGCGCGAACTTCCGCCGCGCGGCAAGCATTACCGCGTTCTGTGTGCAGGAGCCATTATTCTCGAAAAATATCGCGTATGATATTTCTATAAAAAACTGTAGTTCATGTTACGTATATTATATCGTATACGATATTTGATGAAAGCTATAATAGATGTAACAAGAATTATAGCTTTTCATAGAAATATTGTATGCGATATTTTTCAAGAATAAAGGCCTTTGCACGTAGAAAAATTTTAACCGTAACCGTAAGGTCGTAAGAAAACTGACCAATCACAGTCGATTATTCTTCGAACGAAAGGAGAATAATCAACTCTGATTGGTCAGTTTTTTAATGACCTTACGGTTAAAATTTTTCTACGTGTAAAGGCCTTAAAGGCCAAATCACACTAGCGATTGGCGATTGACGATTGACAATTAAAGATTAGATTTTAACGAATTAACAAGCTTCAACTTTGCTTTGTTCAAATTAGTCAAGTTCCAATCGTCAATCATCTATCGCCAATCATTAGTGTGATTTGGCCTTTAGGCTCCAGAACCGAGGAACTGAAGACATTACTTCTTAAGGTCGTTCTACATTAGTTGCAAATCGATTGCAACTCTTGTTACGACAATGATGCTATTGACGCTTCTGATTGGCTATCGCAACAAGAGTTGCAATCGACTTGCAACTAATGTAGAACTTTAAAGATGCGGTTCCAACGGTCTGTAAAATATCCGTATCCATAACCATAAACAAAATCGAGTCATGATTGGTCATGATATAATCACACATCCCATGAGATACGTTCCAAAATTCAACTTTTGTTACTATTTTCTATAGTATACGTGACATGAATTATAGAATTATGGTAACCAAAATTAAATTTTGGAACGCACCCATGAGAGTCCACTCCTTCCTCTTTCTGTGTATATATATATATATATACACACACACATACACATTTATTTATATATATGACGTTGGCTCTGACCGGTACACAAATTCCTAAAAAGGAGCACACCATCCGCTGTCATCGGCAAACACAAGGATAAACAGGGTACCAAAGTGAAAAGTAAAGAAAAAGGATGCTGTTGCATCGAGTGACGTCCTTGTTTCGCAACGTGACCAGCTTTAAGAAGACAAATGTTATAACCAAATCATACCTGCGCTCAGCGATAACCACACCATCCGGAGCGATATTGCCCGAACCTCAGAGAACGCCATTCAGCCTTCTGGGCGTCGTCAGCAGCGTCGTGTTCGGTCTCCTCGTTGGTGCCACGATCAGCAAGAATGTGGCGAACTTCCTCGAGGAGAACGATCTCTTCGTACCCTCCGATGACGATGACGACGACGATTAGTAATGATAGGGCAACCACAGCATTCCATTGTAATTGTTGAAAGTACACAGCTGTATTAGAGGTGTCCTTAACGCTAAATGGTAATTTCTCTTATGTTCCTCTCTCCTTCTTTCTGCGATATTTCTTAAAAATTATGAGCAGAGTGCTCGGCGCAAGGATGCCACGAATCAGTTCAATAATTGTTATCTATTCTCAACTTTTAAATATCTATGTGTGAAACTAGAGAAGCTGGACATTGTTGAATATGTACTTGTTATGTTTGCGTGATATATTTTAATCGATAATTAATCTAAGTTTGTTTATTAGTATTTGGAATGTTGCAGTAGTGTTTGTTAACACCACTAAAAATTTATAACTATTGTGAACTGTTGTGAATTCTAATACGTTAGAATTTTATTGTTCTCTGGCTTATTTTCAGAGTCAAGTTTGATGTCACAGAAATGCAAGATAGTAATTGCACGACGTCAAATAATAAATGGAGAGATATCTCTTCACTTGCACTGTTTAGGTATATTATTTAAGACACACATTATAATGCCTGACTAATTATGTATATATTATCATAGAAATATATATATATATTTATACAATCAAAGTGTTAGCGCATAATGTAGAGCTTATACAAAATCTTTTTATTTATAAGTTATATATATTTTTTTTAAATATATATATTTAAAATATGTGTATAAATAAAATGAATTGTGTTAAATACAACGTAGGTAATACAAAAACGCTTATTATGGCATCTGTACAATCAGGCGGTATTATCAAAACAGATGTACATGTGATTATTATAGCGTTATACGTATCTCTTCTCAGTCTTCGATTAATATTCACAGTTGTCAAATGCGTGTAATTTTCAATAAATCGTTTAAGGTAAATGTACCAATCTCAATCAAAAGATTAAGAATTCTATAAGAGGATAAAATCTGATCATAAAGATCAGAATCACTTTTTGCAATTAACATACAAGTTAAAGATCAGACGCTCTCTCTCTCTATTTGTTAAAAGTAAAAATATAAATTAATTGAAATATCATTTTCCCATGGTAGATTTTTTATAAATAAAATGTTTTCTAAAGCAAGTATATAGATGACTGGACATTTGTTTTGCATAATGGATTCTTAATAGAGTCAACAAATTTAAATTATACTTTATAGTTCAGTCCAACTAAAAATACGTGTCATTTATTCTCGAAATTCGAAGCAGTTTAATTAATCTTATAATTGATTATGTATTACAAAAATTAGTAGAATTAAGAATGTTTTTATCATGCTGATAAATAAAGTAATTATTAACGTTATAAAAATTATTAATTTTTTTATAGAATCGAATGTTTGGATATTTAAGTAAAAGTTCTTAACTAAGATACAAGAAAAATTTTTATTCTAAATAAGAAAATTTGATCATTCTAATTTAGAGACGTGCTCAGATATTGGTACTTTTACCTTATATAATTAGCATATTTAACGAAAATGTAATGAATCTAGTAAACATAAAGAAGGTCTATTTTAATTTCTTTAGAACTACATAAATCGTATAATAGATCTATCTCCCTTACAGCCGATAACTTTGTCACTTTCACAGAAGGAGACTATCATTAATATTATAATTCCACGATAAAAATTTGTATCACAATTTATCGAACAATTCAAAAATGTACAGTCGTATATTATTCGAAGAATCTTTGCAAAGATGCAAGAGGTAAAAACAAGTACGCAGTCTAGTCTCGGTACGAAAAGTCATAAATACGAAAACGTGTGCATAAATAAATAAAGTCTCGTTAAGTACGCAGAACATGAATTATAATTGTCAAGCAAGCAAGCAAGTCTCCCTTTCAGTAAATTTGAAAATACAGTAGAAAAACGCATCACAGAAAATCTCATTCGAGTTTGTCTAACACAAGCACGATGTGTATTAAACAGTATATTGATGTACAGTGTATTGACAGTAGAGCTTCGAGGCTTATTCGAATCTAACACTATCCGGATATCCAATTATTCAGATAACGGATAAATATAATACTCCAAACTACCGCAAACGTGACATCAAGAGCTACGTTCTGAAATGCTACTCGGCGGGTAGAATAACGTTCAATTAATCAATCATGATAAAGAAATCTCAATGGGGTTCTTTCCGAGATGTAGCGAGCTGACACTGCACTGATTGAATGAATGTAACTGGAGATTATGTAATATTTGATGAAAATAGAAGTACAGATACAGGAAGAATAGAAAGAAAGAGAATAAAGGAACATAATTATTTATTTTAGATTAAGGGAGTAAAAAAAATAGTGTATATCAAATAGCCGTAAATATCCTCAGGAAAGCTGAAATTACGACGGGGAGACCATAAAAAAAAGAATCTTGGTTCTCTTTGTTCTGATTGCTCAATTAAATGCTATTCTACCCATCAAATTGAGTTCTGGAACATAACTAAGACATCAGTTATATGTATTAAATGTACATTATTTACTGAGCAATTATCGCCTCTTTAATTTCAATCGATTCAGACTCTTAATGATATATAATCTGTACGCTTCCGTAAGAACAGAGAAGTCAGCATTTATGGCAAACGTCCCAATAGCCGGATATTAACGACACAGAGCCAAAATTTACTTCATTTTTCTAAGTAATATATTACCATGCAAATAAAATTGTTTAATTATCACGATTCTACTGTAACAACACTTCTACTGTAATTACAACAATCTATATGGATTTTAGTTTAACTATATGTTTAATATAAAATAACCTTTCTATATAATTTTGTAATTAACTCGCAATAGATTTGTGTATGGACAACTGTCAGATTGTAATAATGCAGGGTTAACACGTCTTTGTTATGCCTCACGATTACATACATGAATTAATGCAAATGATCTAGTTAAAGCGTTAATATTGTAATAGAAATAAAAACATTTGAGATTATAATGACAAGTTTCTATATATGTTCGAATATAGGGTTCGGCAATATCCGGCAATCGGTATTTTTACCATAACAAGAGTAGACAATGGAGAATCAGTAGCTACCCTTGTCCGACTACCCAGTTGGTAAAGAGAAAGAAGAATGAGAAATTCTGTCTCTCTTCTTTATTTACCTTTATGTTCCAATCGCTTTTTTCCTATGCTTCTGCAAGAGCAAAAAACTGTTTGTGGAACAGAAAAGAAAGCATCTAAGCTTATATACACACACACACAACTTCAACAATGCCTTCCATTTTTAGTTCCAGTTAGAATATTTTGGCTCAGGCTCACAATGAATACATATATTACTTTTGATGATCAAGAAACAATGAACTGTGCAAAATTGGTTGAGCAATTGTATTGTCTAGCAATTTAGCTCGAGTTGATCGAGGTCCAACAGCAAAGGAGTAAGAATAAAAGTGGTAAAACAAAGCAGAAACCAAAACTCGAGCGCCAGTAAAAGTATCACTATAAGAAAGAACTAAAAGTAGGACTCTAGACGATAATAAAAATAGGAGCAGAAATAAATGAATTGAATCATTAACACAGAGTCCTCATAGCCCGAGTTCAAGGTCTTTGTGAACATCCAAAAGTATCAAATATATGCTCACGTTCATCATTATATCGCTCGGAAACTCCTCACCATATTATTAATGATACGACGAGCTCGTGTCAAAATATCTTAACTGAAAAAGTAGAAGATATTAGAGATATTGGAGTCGTGTACATTTGTCTTTTGATGTGTCAGGGTCAGTCGTTATATAAGAGCGTTTAATCTATTCCTCCAAGTCTGTAATTGATTGTTTCGAAAATGCATGAAAATCCACAGAGATTATTGTGATGGATTGATTTCTGTTCAATGCCGATATATAAAGCGCAAGTAACAAAGAGAGACAAGATCGCGATGCATTACAAACCTATGGTAAGAATGTTGCGTTTGCGTTTGTCCTGCCTGCGTATAAAACTACTTCGTATGATAATAAGCGTATATATGCAATAACTGACTCGTTCCTACTGCGGTGGTCTTTTGTGTGAACCCCAGCCGTGAAAGCATTTTGTGAATCTTCTAGATTCCTTACCTTTGGCAGTCAAAAATAATTTACGAGGCCTCTCGGGTTGCTTCACACGCAAGTGTTGGATATACACCTGTGAAGAAGAAGGAACTATTATTTCGTCGCAATAGTACTGTCCAGAATATTTGAAATTAATTTAAAAATGAGAATTTGTATCAAGGATATTTAACAAAGCTGAGAAGTAAATGATTAGCGAGAGCCACGAAATAATTAATCGTAACCACCAACTTGCATAATTCTTACTGGTCATTTACTTTTTAGTGATGGAATTAATTTAATTCACTTTTACAGAATATTTCACAACGTGTTCTTACCATAACAATGAAATTGGCAGCGCTTACCTGAGCCGATTTATAGGCCAATTTGATTTCCACTTCGGAACAACGAGTGCCTAACCAGAGGAACACTTGTTCTCCATTATCAAGGATCATAATATCGTCATCTGCCAAGTCGTCCTACAAAAAGAAAATCTCGATAGTATCCGTATTTGTTGTCTCTTTTACAGGAATTTTGAAGAATTTGAAATATTTTCCTGTATTGAGCACGTACTTGACAGAAATCGGTGCATTTCTCGCTGATCGTGAAGTATCCCTTTTCATTGGAACATCTGAATAATCTCGTATAATTCATATATTCCGCGTCAGTGTCATATGGCTTCTTTCCTCCAAGTGCCACCCAGAAGAAATTGTCTGGTTCTTCCCCTTCATTCAGCACTTGCAAACTTATCCATGGCTGTGTAAAATTGCATTAAATTGCAAATTTTAAATGTATAAAAATTTTAATACAAATATAATTGAATATAAAAATAAATATAAATGTATAATATATGAATATAAGTGCAAATTTTTAATGTATAAAACTCTTAATATACAAAATTAATCTCGAACCAAAACTCTTCAGATCTATGTTAGGTTAAAGACTCACAACTTACGTTGTTGAACATCTCTTCCGCAACTTCTCCAATTAAACGCGCGTCTTCAGGATCAGATTTTGAACCGATCCATGCGTATACAATACCGGTCCCGTCGTCATTGTTGAATGGCACATTTAAGAGGTAACTGTAAGTAAAGGAAAACTATTAATATTGCATATTACAAATGAAATATATTCTTGTATTTTATGGCGTCGAGTATCTCACCAGAAAGCAGAATTCAGTAAAGTCGAATCCGCCGGTATCTGAATTAGACGAGTACATAAGGCACTACCATTACTTCGTAGATGATAAAACTCCACTTTGTTGCTACCCGCAACCTTCGGCTGCTTACGTTTGCCTTGGTGTATGATGAATTTCCGTTTGAAGTAACTCATAAACTTTAAATTCTCCTGTTGCTGATGTGTCCTCACAACTTCCAGATTTTCGCCAAACAACGATTTGAATTTCTTTTGCAGACTGAAACAGATATATAAATATGTTTTGCGTTTCAAACAAAGAAAGATATTGTAAGGTTTCTAAAAGTGAACAAACAGTAAGAAAGATAGACTAGTAAGAGTCATTGCTGGATGATAGGCGTGATAGTTTAAATCTAATAGAAGGATAAGTATCGACAGTATAACATACGCGCTGGACTTGTTTTCCAGAATTTCAACGCACGCATGAGGTACTGTATAGTAGACATCGCTCATCATCGATCCTGCCCAGGGCTCGGCACATTTTGCCCATTTCGGCCGATCATCGGGAGCTACGCCTTCTATCTCCCCCTTGCTGCGCGGCGGGCCATGCAAGTGACAGTCGCAGCCAGTCGCGGCTCCAAGCTTAGAGGCACGACCGTCACTTGCGAGGCCCGCTGCGCGGCAAAGGGGAGATAAAAAGCGTAGCTCCCGAGAATCGGCCGAAATGGGCAAAATGGGCCGAACCCTGTTTTAGCCATGAATATTTTTAATATTATTATTCTATAAATATAACAAATATTTTTAATATTGATCATTACTCTATAAATTAAACTTTGATAGACTTTTAGTAAGCATTGCGAAAAAATAAACAATAAGTATTGCGTGAAATATTACTTTATTCAGGAAAGTCTGGAAAATAAGACCAGCAAATATATTATATTGCTAAACAATTTTATTCTGTCTCCTAGAATTATCTTGCCCAGCATCCACAACGGTGGATTTTTACTCGTCTATTTTTTTTACTGATGGCTTGTCTCATATTATGTAGTCGTACATAAATAAATTTATGCTAATAATATGTACCTACCTGAATGTAAAAGTCAGCCAACCCATATTTCCTGCGTCTCTGCCTTGCCAAAAGTATACTGTGCATTGATAATCATCCTCGTATTGTTCGTCGCCGTCCTCGTTCTCCGCTACATCTAACGGCTGATTCAATTAAAAGCACACGGCGGTTTATTGTATGTTTAACATTAGATGCGTCGTAAAGCGACAGACACACATGCTGCTACGTACCATCCAGTAGCGACATAAGAATACATAACAATCCGCGCTGTAAAAATGTCCCAATTCTTCTTCCGGCAGCCGCACAAATTTCTTCCCTTCCAACACTAATGCCTCCATTCCTTCCAAATCGTCATTCCACTCTGTCATAAGTTGATGCGCTTCGGACGCTGACATCAATGGTTGCCGCGGCATAAATAAAGCGGCCAAGTCAGCCTAGTTATGGCAAACAATAGAAAATCAGTGAAATTTAACAAAAACATCAATAAAGAAATATAAAATAACAAAATGTGGATCTCGTTCATACGAGATACATTGGCATGTACCTTTGCTTCTTGTTGTTTAGCCCATTTAGTAAGATCTGCTCCGGTTTTGGCAACCGACTCAGCAGTTCTAGTGAAATCTACAGCGATCACTTCGTCCCATCCGATGAATTTAGACTTGAAGATCTATGTATTGAATAAACAAATTGTTTCCATAAAAAACTTAACAATGTTAACTTATGGTTTCATTTCTAATTTTAATGATTTCATTTTTAATATTCTGTGAATATTTCAGTTCTCTTCGTCAGAAAAAGAAGCAACCTGATATTAATCTACCTGATACAGTGAAATAAAATGTTTATAAAATATTGAAAAGAAACCCACAAAAATACGTCTTCAACTCGTAAGCAAATTTTAGTATTTCTCTACACTGCGAAAGCCTCAAATACTAGATTTAACATTGTTGAAAAATTAATTTAGCGAATATAAATGTGTACCTGAGACTCTGTGCCTTCTTGCAATCTTGTTATCATTGCATATTCCGGCCTTTCTATCATATTAAATAACTCTTGAGATAATTTCACAGCAGCGGCACGTACTAATCTCGTCGACTTTTTTCCAAACCTACGATCATACGTGATTAATATCTCCTAATAGTTTTCACAATTGTATCCAGTAAATGAGCATATTTAAGTATATTTTCCATATTTACCAAACATATACATCCAAATAGCAATCTAATATATATACATTGCGGTTATTTAGCAAAGTATTCATTAACTTGCTGTGAGGAACCTCGACCTGAGGTAGTTCCAGATATCCCATTCCAAGTTGAACTTGGTACAGTCTGGGCACAAGAGGCATAAAATTTGGATTCACGTGTTCCTATCATAAAAATAATGCAATTAAAGGTATCGTAATAAAATTGAATAATCCTTTATGCATATATATAATAATATAATTATTATATATACACACATATTCATACATACACGCATATACATTTATTATATATTAAAAATTTATATTATAATAAAAATTAATTTGAAAAAAACATTTGTTTTTATATAATTAATAAAATATCAATACATATATCATTACATATATATAATTTTTATTCAGTTTAATGAATACTATATATGAGTGTTGTTACATTATAAGAGACTATGCTTACAATAATGTGCCGATCTTTTTGCTCATCCTCCTCGAGACCCAGGCGTAGCAGAAAATCTTCAGACTCTGCATTCATGACTTCCGTTATGATCTCGGCTTTATTCTTCCGTTCGTTTTTGTTAATTTTCTCCGCCATCAATCGCGCCTTTGACTTCAGTGTGCTCTTCGCTTTCTTCCCATACCACATGTATATCGTATTCCCCGTATCAAGGACGAACACATAACCGGGATCCAGAGACTCGATGCAGATTGGAACCGGCTCCAAATGTATAGATGCTCCCGCTGCGTGCACTCTGTATAAACGAGTAATCGCTGGCTGGAAAAGAGAACAGGTGAATTTAAATACTTCGAAAGTTTAAATACGATATGAAAAGTAAAAAAAAAAAAGAATCAAACGCTTACTGTATCCTCCACTGTATAAAAACCAGACGACGTACGACCGCCTTCGATATAAGTGATACCCGAATCGAACAGCATCAGAAACTCATCCGACTCGTCTCCCTGCTCCTCCCTGATCGTCCGACATTGTGCGCCTAAATAATTTCTCAAATTCACGGCATGAATCGCCGCGCACGCTCTTTTGTCCAACTGCAAGTTTATAAGCAAATCAGTCGAAATTACGGGGAACATTCGGCAATTGCATTGATCACTCGCATAATCATTTGCGTGTCACCAATGCTATAGCCCTTGCGTGTCTTTCTCTGTTATGCCGGTTTAAAAATATACTTACTGTTGCCTTTTCTCCGATCCAGAAATAAATCGCCCAGGTCAACGATCCACCCTCATCTATCCCAGTTTTAAGGATGATGTAACAGTCGCCCTCGTAAAATTTACCGTGTGCCACTTCCTCGATCTCGTTTGGTAGGAAATTCTCTATCTCCCAGATCGATAGGCCAGATATCTGACCAGCGTCTTCGTCGAAAAACTCTGAATAATCCAGCGGTGGTTTCTCCAAGGCTTCGTCCCATCGTTTGGGTCTGAAATGTTAATCGTCGATTAGACTCACAACATAACAAAAGTTCATATGCGTATTTACAAAATTTAAATCCACAAATTTGCAAGCTCTACTCACTTTAACGATTCTGCTTTCGATTCCTCACATTCCTTATCCTTGTTCTTCTCTTTCGCTATATCCTTCATTCCCTGAGAGTGATCATAATTAGCTTTTATAGCTATTTTTTCTATATTAATATTACTATATAATTACGATGATATAATTAGTGAGATAATAATGTACCTTAAGAATCTTAGCCTGATCTTGATCAGCTTCCTCCTGATCTCTTCTTCTCCGAAGTCGCATTTTACGCGCGATAGGATCTTTGCTATCTGCAATCGAGAAAATGCATTTATGTAAAATATCAAAGCTCCTTCTTCATTTGAATTTACCAATAGGATCATATCTATACGTACTAGCGGCTTGAACTGGAACTGGCACATTAGCACCAGCGAGACGAAGCTGATGCTGCAACGAGAAGTCGATATTGTAAAATTCGATTCCCGATCCTCTTTGCACTTCTAACGGTTTTGGTGGCATCACTAAATTCGGATTGTCCCTCAAATCCAACTGTTCCAAGTCAGTGAGAAGGTGAATGGCGTCGGGAACAGTGATCAGCCGATTGGACGTTAATATTAATTGTTTTAATGCACCGCATCTGAAAAAAAGATATAAATATTCATCTCTTTATCGTATTACATCGAAGACAAATACTTTTATTCAGTGTGCTGTAAAATGAAATAGAGAAAATGAAAAAAGAGAAAGATCGTCACCTGCATAGCCCTTCTGGTATCATTTCTAAATGATTATTGGCAGCAGAGAATACTTGCAGCGACGATAACTTGCCAATCCCAGATGGTATGCCCTCAAAATCTAATTCGTTATCATTTAAATATAATCTTCTTAACGTAGAAATCTTGCACAGAGAAGCTGGTATTGCACTCAATTTGTTTCGAGACACATTCAGAGTCTCTAATCTTGTCCATAGCTCTAAAAGACATATTCTTTTATTACTGTTATTACTCGATTACGCAAGATCAAATCCAAATAATGTTATTTACCGATCGCCGTTGATAGTTCCGTTATTTGATTGTTGCTAAGATTCAAACGACGTAAATTCGATAAGGAATAAAGCGCGTCAGGCACTCGGGGTAAATTATTCTGCGACAGGTCGAGTTCCTGTAAATTGGTTAAAGTTTCTAGACTAGAAGGTATATTATTCAACGTTCGTTGTGTGTTCCGCATTTGCAGCGCAGTTAAATTCATTAGTGATGGTAATTGTCTGAAATATAATTTAAAAAAATATAATTTCAAAAAATATACCTATATAAGAAAAATTAATATTCGATCCACATCTTTCCTACCTTAATTGAAAGTGGCCCAAAGGATTATGATTCAAATTTAAAGTCTGCAAGTTGGCCAAACGCCTAGTCTGTGGTGGCACAGTTTCCAACTTATTGTGACTAAGATCCAAGAACAATAAGTCTGTCAAATGGATGAACAATGTGTTTGGTATAGTCTCAATGCTGAAACAATGAGAATAATATTAGAATTTTTTTTTAATATTTTCTTATAATTGTAAAAGATTGTCTGTGTTTCATCAATGATACGAACTGATTATGGCTTAAGTTAAGATTGAGCAAGGCACGTGCTCTCTCTAGGCCTTCAGGTACTTCCTTCAAATTGTTGTGACTTAAATCTAAGGTTGTCAATTCCTCTAAGTGAAACAATTCTGCCGGAATACCACTGGATTTAATGTTATTATGCCTGATGTTTAATGTTCTGAGACATCCCAATTCTGTCAATTCACCGTACAACCGTTCCAGTTTGTTTTTGACAAGTGATAGATGTTCCTGATGAGTCATTTATTATATTATTACATAATATCAACTACTTAATCAAGTTTGATATATTTTCTTAAATGACAGGAATAATTGTATATAATAGGAGTGATCTCATTGGTTTCAATAATCTTAAAGTATGTTGAAAAAATATAAACAAAGAATAGTACATGACGTTTGGAGTGATATATTAATGAAGAATAATTTATTTTCAGTATAATACAATGTATAACTTTCAAACTTTGAAATGACATCTCATGTGTATTACATACATGATATATTTGTCATCTCTGTTAATTTTTTAATAAATCATGAGCAACTTTTTTACATTCTTCATATTTCTTTTATTAGCAATTTTTAAATTAACACTAGGATTTTTAATTTTGTATCAAGGACTTTACTCTTTGAGTAACCATCATTTTTCAATATATTTCAAGGTCATTAAGATTGGTGAAGTCAACCCTATTATATATAATCACCATGAAAAATCTTGAACAATAACAAGATATTCTATATTTTATATAAATCAAGAAATTATATAATGAGAATTCAGAATAATATATTATATAATTAAAAATATTGTGTGCTTTACCAATTTCAACAATTTGCCCATCTCCTCTGGAATCTCTGTCAAATTTGTTTTGTCCAATTTCAGCCATTGTATACCAGTCATAAGACGCACGGACTCAGGAAATCTGCCATCCTACAAAAATGAAAGCAATCTTTGTTACAACTCCACGATTAGCCAATACTCCTGTAATCATCCTTAAATCTTATTGTGACCAAATTGCTAAGTGTCACTCAATGAGTCAAAATTACTTCACAAACAATCGTATGAAGTGATGTTGATACACGATATAATCAAAGATTACAAATGACCGGATATTCCAAAGTGATATCTCGAAGGTTAATCTCGACTACTCACGCCGAAGTCGTTGCTACTGAAGTCCACACCTCGCACAAACGGCAAGACCCCGGTGTTCGCCATTGCACTCAGCGGGGGCGGCGACAACGTCGTCGTCGTCGGCTGATGCACGACGACGTGCTAACACAGGATACAAAATACCAGTTGCGCCAAGTGATATATCGCAGACACGGTGCGCCGCGTCCATCGACGGACGGATTGTCACGCCGCACGGACCGCTCACGCTACACCGAGCGCGACAATAGCCAGGCTCGCGCACTTCACTTTGCCCGTTGTACCCCCTCACTCATCCGTTCGAACACCGAATAATCGACCATCACGGATGACGGAATGACTTGGAACAACGGCCGCCGGATAGTACGAATAGTAACGAGGGCGCGGCCATGTTGCCTTGATGACGGTCGTATTTACAATGGTCTATTAACAGGTCGTGTTTACAACGGTCTGTTAACAAGTCTGTTCTTTGTAGATACGCTGCTAAACTAGTGCGTAAGTTAGGGTGCGTTCAGAAAACACGGGAGGGTCCCGATTGCCGACAGTACGATTGACCATAAATTGTAATGATTGGTTCGATCTGGTAATTCACTAGATAATTCTTATCATCGATTGGTTTGTGTGCAATCGTACTGTAGGCAATCGGGACGCTCCCAGAAAACACAATTGTTGCACAACAGTTAAGTATGGGTGCGTTCCCACTTAACGCGTCACACGTCGCGTCGTCCGAGTTAGGGTGCGTTCCCACTTAGCGCGTCACGCGTCGCGTCGTCCTTCGCGGACCAATCAAATCGTTCCATTTTATTGCCTAACTTTACGACGAATAAAATGGGATAATTTGATTGGTTTAACTCGGACGACGTGACGCGCTAAGTGGGAACGCACTCTAACGTTTACGAATCACTCAACAGTTGTACAACTGTTGTGTCTGCTGAACGCGCCCAATAATCGCTGATAGCTTACTGAGCGCTTTTTCCGCTGAACGTACCTATTCGGTACATAAAGGTCGTTCTACATTACTTGCAAGTCGATTGCAACTTTTGTTGCGATAGCCAATTAGAAGTGTCAACCATTGATGCTTCTGATTAGTTGTCGCAATAAGAATTGCGTCAACTTGCGATCGGCTTGCAACTAATGTAGAACGATCTTAATACAATCGCTTATTGAGGATGCAATGTCCATTAGACACTGCAGATACTTTGAAACACCAGATACTCTATAAACCAATCATGGCTTCTCTTTAAACGCTTCAAAGCTTTTACAGCGCCTAGTGAATCGCGTCTTGGGGTTCGATTCTTGACGGTATGCGAATGAGATACGTATGCGAAAATGTATAGTTTACATTACGTATACTGTAGATTTTCGCATGCGTATCTCATTCGCACACCGTCAAGAATCGGGCCCCTTAACGCTCAGTCTTCTCTTGCATCTGATTGGTACATATTTTTAGATCTAAAAGAATATGCCAATCGAATGCAAAAGCTTGCTGAACGCTCAGTTTCTAGCTTTTTTGAACTTCTTGAATTTCCTGAATTTGTAGTGACAAGATATTATATTCATATTTTCTCTATTCAGAATTCTTATATTGTAATTAAAATAATATAGAATATTTGATAAACACATTTTCACTTTCTCGATTCGCAAACACGACGGCTTAATGTTCAAAATCGGGCGCCATGTTTACGTGGTGAGGCGAGCGGAAATCCTAAGCAAACTATTGCGTCTGATGAAAAAGGACACAATCCTCGATCTGTTGGTCACCAATTTGGATTCATCGTAGGTATTATCACACTCGCATATTTTTAGTCAGTTTTATATCAAGCTTGTAAATTTCACAATTACATCTACGCAGATTATTTATCTATTGTCTACATGATTAATATCTTTTTGTTTCATATAGACAATGTAAGCTATGTGGAATATCGTTAATTATATTAAAATATACAAAAAAGAGTGATTAAATTATAAGATAGTTGTCATATCTGTTGCAGATATTGATTATAAATATAAATGTTTTAAAAAGATAACAAAATGCGTGAACTTATCAATTTCGTTGTATGACAATTTGATAGATTTAATATTGAAGAGGTAAGAATCTGACCAGAGAATTCTGTCGACTCTCTAACTTGTTTAGGAAACATTGAGAAATTTATATCAGGATTCTCTAAAAGGATTAAAGTATAAACTTTCCTTCATTGATTTTTGAGCAAATCATACATTCCTTAAACGACATCCATAGATTTCTCATTATCTACGTAGATGACATTACATAATGTTTTACATTGTCTACGCGTGAAAAGTATCATAATTTACGCGTAAACGCCTAATTCTGTTTTATATTGCGCGCCTGAAACTTGAGTCGCGTTGTATCGGCACGTTATCAGCCGGAGCACCGAGACGATGGCTGAGGTAAAGAGGGGAGGAAGAGAAAATGAGAGAGAAAGAGAGAGAAAGAGAGACATGGGAAGGAAGGGAAAGAGAGAGAGGGAGAGGCAAGGAAAGAAGAAGAGCTAAACACCGCCGTGTTCTGGGCTAAACGTGCTGATCATTGTCGAGCGGCTTCTCCAGCTGCATATATTCTTCAAAGACATAGCCAGTGCAATTTGCGATTCTCTTCTACGTGTATATGGCTTCAGTTGAGGAAGTGGATCAGGTCGACAGCGGCATGGGCAGCAGCGACGCGCGCTCTCCCGAAGTGAAGTCGCTCCTTCCCGACGACGGCGACGAGGATGACGAAGAGGTATGTACGAGATAGTTCTATGATTCTCTGTCGGAAGAGCGACGGATCACTTAAACGACAACCGTTGAACATCGAAGTTTCACGGGATATGGTTTTCATATGCCGTTCGTTTGAACTTTTATGAAATGCGAGATAATACTGAAGAGAGGAAGTCACGAAGCAACCCGAGGATCACACGTGGTTCTATCGGTTATATTCCATTAGGATATGCAATGTGAAAGATTAGGTCTGCTTTCTTTTATCTAAATTGGCTTGCACTTTTGCCTTTAAAGTGGAACAAGTACATAACCTTACATTGAGGGGGGAAGATGAACAAAATTCTAATGCTATTACATTAGCTAAAAAGAATAAGCCTGTTAATATATATGTATAGTGAAGTGTAAAATAATTTTTTAATATCAACACAAAAACAATTATGTTAAACTATTTAATTGATTGGTGGTATGTTCTTTATTTTTAGGATGAGAGCTTATCAGAAAGATTATTAGGGCTCACTGAAATGTTTCCAGAGCCTGTACGCAATTTTGGATATAACTGTGGAACTTGTCTGTACAAGTGTATCAAAGGTAATTACATATCTCAAAATATCATTTTTCTTAAAATAAAAAAAAATATAAATATGCAGTATCTGACAATTTATGATACATCCATTATGTATAGGTAGAACTTATCACACTAAACACAAAATTCCTCTATCATCTCACAAACAAGCCTATACAATTTTTAGTCATTAATTAAATAAGATTAGTGAATGATTATGCATGATAATGAATTGTCAGTATTCTGTATAAGACAGACATTATATAATGCAACATTTGCACAAATATCTTTTTAGGTCTGTATGCATTTTCATGTTCAACCACATGGATAATCTTTAGCTCATCGACCATTCTCTTTGCACCAATTATCTTTGAAATGGAGCGTGCACAGATGGAAGACATGCAGCGCACACAACAGAAACAAGTTCTCTTAGGTCCTAATACAGCTTTATCTGGCGTTAACACCTCCAGTCTTCCAATGGCACCACCTGTTCAACGATAAGCCATTACATCACTGTTTACACTTATACATACACATATATAGCTACAGGTATATGTAGAAATGTCTAAATGATTTAGCCCGACTCAATTATTTAACGGTATAACTTGTTCATACATTGCAAAATTTTACACATCTTGAATGTATCTCGAATAATTTCTATGAAATTGCTGTCATAAATCAAGAGTGTGTGATTTGCCTAACTGGAATAATCCCTACTAGATAAAATTCGCAATACAATGGGCTGTTAAATGTCACGAGTTGCAACATTCATCAGTCTAGTCTATATTCTGTTTACACATACACATGCACATACATACATACAATACGCGTGTGCTCGCATGTACGATTATTTCCTTTTACGAATTTTTACTGAGAATCTATATGCCGCTCTGGTGTCGTCGTGCGGCATTTTATTATTTTATCAATGCATCAAGTGTGTCGTGGAAGCAGAGATAGCATTTAATTGACCAAAAAGCAACGCTGACTTTTATTCGCTGTACATACACACAGCAATGTGAGAAATCTTGCAGTTATTTATAATAGATAATACAGTCTGCTGCGCGTAGTATTATACGTCGCGTATGTTATTGTCCTCAATACATCTTTTCTGTTATAATTTCAAATGAATAAATAAAAGGTAATAAATGCAATAATCTTTAATATCATTCTTCTTATTACTGATTTATAAGTACGTTAGCACAACTTGGCCAACCTTTTACACAAGCCATTAGTTAATTTAGTCTTAATATATAACTGTGTCGCTCGACTTTCCATATACAGTCCATCTCTATCTATTATAACATACCTGGAAAAAATTATATATGAATAAATTATATAAACAAAGCTATTAGTGTATAACCGATTGAAAGAGAAAAAGAAAGAAGACCAATGATTAGTCTCAATGCTAATACAATGCTAATACAATTAATATACAGTTACAATTAAAGTTTCACTATTAGAAACATATATGTTTATTATTTTTCAAACATATATGTTTGCAAGTTATATGCTCCTGAATTTCGAGCGTTTCGCCGATTGGGCGAGGGAATGAAGGGGAGCAGTACTAGGCGGAGCAAATTTAAGATCGGTTGGAATGTACTAAGTTCTGCCCTGATAATAAAAAATCACACCGAGTAAAGCGTATTGTACAAATAAATTACTCTATATATTGTGCATATAATATTATATAATTACGCACATGATGAAATGTGATTGAGACACACATTTTCCTCTCACGTGCATGTCGTGTCGTAAGGAAAGTTGCTAGGTTAGGGTAGTGTTTATTATAGCGCAAGGATGAATCAAGCGAACGTTGAAAAACTAGTGTCCAAATTGAAATTTAATATCAGACCGAATGCACGGCGGATGAGAAATCCGGACGGGCCGGAGGGACGACTTCGTAAAATTCAAAAGACATTAACGGCATTAATCAAATACGAACGAATCGAGTTATATTACAACAGGGCCGACGAAACTAGAGGTTATGTGGAACTGGTAGGCACATTATTATTTACGTAGCTTAAAAAATGCAATAGTCCTGTTATGATGTAACCGTATTTTTTTTTAACGAACTTCGAAAATGTGTTAACAATTTTGAACAGCATATTCTAACTTATGCTTGATTACACAATATACGATTAATTTTGTGTTATCTTACTAATGTCCTAAATATTTTAAACAATCTAATAGGCTTATTGTAGAACTATACCAAATGGATTTCTCTAATTTAAATATTGCAAATATTGTATTTTCTGGAAATTTTAAAGTTTAAATAAAATAAATCTAAAGTATAACAATTCTTTCTATTCACTTATCCAATATATTCCATTGAGAGATTACATCTAAAGAATGGTTTATGTACAAGATGGGCTAACATCTTTCTAGTCAATAACAACAATAAAAAGAAGATAACTTTGTCTCATGGTTTACATATAGTTAATAATAAAAATCTTATAATGTTATTTTGTAGTTGATAAATGAAGCGATACGCAATGGCCCCACACATAAAGAGACAATGGACATGGCTAATTTTTGGATAGCTGAAAAGCAACTAGTGCATAAACTGTTTAAGGTTCTTGTGCCAAGATACCAAAACTACACAATCTCATTTACAAAACTTCATAAGGCACCAAATATCTATCCCGGATGTCCATACGAAAGAGCAGTCTTAGAACTTAGAGGTAAGTTAAGTAAAAGAATCTTCTAACAAATTATGGAAATCTCTACTTACTCTTGTAATTATTGTACTTTAGGTAATATATATCCAAACTTAGAACAATATAATCCATGTGAACGAAATTTACTTCACAATATACTTCTTGATGCAGCGAAGAAGGAATATAGAATGGAGAAGTACAAGGAGATTGCAGAAAATATAAAAGAGGAACAGAGAACGTAAAATAGGAACAGAGTAGAAGGAGGTATTTTTAAGTGACACAATTGTACACAGTACCTTAGTTCAAAGCAAACTTTATTAAAACAAAAGTGCAAAATTATTTGTACTTGTGGCAAATTTTGTATATAATATCCTCTCTCTATTTAGTGCCTGTGTAGGAACTCAATGAATAATGTTCCTTGAATTCTTCCAGATGCTTTTCCATTAGATTCATTTGATTTCTTATATGACAAGGAACATCCTTATAAACGTCTGTAAACAGTTCTTTCCAATGTGGCTTCAATTTTTTCTCTGCCTCCGCGAAAACACGAAGAACTTCCTTCTTTGTAGAATTTATTAACTCCTGCTCTTTCTCTTGACACCACAATCCACGTGACTCCAAATATGCACGAAACTTGGCAAGTGGTGTGTGAACATTCCATTTGGCTATCTCATCGGCCGAGCGATAGGCGGTAGAGTCGTCGGATGTGCTATGATGTCCGAGTCTAAAAACGATTTTTGTCGCCGTTATGCAACTTGCATTAATCATACAATGTATCATTGGATAGACGATTCGACATGTAAGGAAAATGACTGTGAAAAATGTAAAAGTCAACAAGCGTAACTCAGAATATTCGATCTAGAATTGCTCTTTTTGAAGAAGACATTCTTGAAATTCGTTGAAGAAAAACACAGCAATATCACAATAAGATTACCGTGCGCTTCTGAAAGAATTAGAAACAAACAGATATATTTATGGTCACCTATAAGTCATAGCTTCTATTAAAACTGGCTTCTGTTGTTTTATACAGAACTCTTTGGCAGTTTTTGTAGCAAAGTATACCGCGAACACATCATTAGCGTTCACCCTGATCGTGTTAATTCCATAAGCCGGACCTTTGGCAGCGACACCGTCTCCCTTGAACTGCTCTTTGACTGGCGTGGAGATAGCGTATCCATTATTTCGACTATTTGACATATGTATTTTTCATCATGTATTATATGTACATGTTAGAAAGAGTTTGAAAAGAGTCATCGAAATTACCAGATAAAAATGATGGGACACGATAGCGTGGCTGCAAAGTTAAATGCTGCATGGGCGTCACCTTCACTCGTTGCACCGTCGCCAAAATAGCAAACCACACACGACTTTTTTTTATTCAATTTATAGGCATAAGCAGCTCCTGCAGCTGTGGAAATAATTAATATCTTTAATTTCAAGACTTCACATTTAAAATGCTTACTATAACAATGTAAATTTTCGAGTATTAGCAAAATGTGTAATCACCAAGATAACAAAGTTGTTTTAGTTGAAATTTTTTTTTATAAAAATCTCACTAGCCTTAAGACTACACTAGCAATAACATTGTTAGTAGCAGTATTACCAACAAATATAGTGTTTTATTTAAAACTACTGAAAAAAGTTGTATCCGAAAACAAGTTGCAATTAATCACAATTTGCTATTCAACTTTGTTATTTTGGGATGAAAAATGTTAATAACATTGCTATTAGTAGTTTCTCTTGGCAAATAGTTTTTCTGCAAAATATATTTCGTTAGAAACATTCAACAAATCGTTTTCTGGAGAACATGGTTTTGTTAAAAACATTTTTGTTATTAGCTTCTGGCTATTAACATTGTTACTTTTTAGATCGGTTTTTAGATATTATTTGTGAATAACGTAGTAGTAAATGTAAACATGAATATGTTACCTTGTGGCATTTGAGTTGCCAACGGAGACGAGATAGTCATAAAATTCAACTCTTTGGAGCCATAGTGTACCGGCATTTGCCTGCCTTTGGCTTCATCCTCGCAATTGCCGTAACATTGGTTCATGAACTTTGATACTGGATACCCACGATACAACAAGACACCTGTTACAATTGTTTGGCAATTATTTCTTTACCAGAGGAGCGTACAATGAGAGAATATATATATATATGTTACATCACAATTTCGCACCAGCTTCGCGGTACTGTGCGTAAATCATGTCGTCCAAAGTTAAAGCAGCGGCGGAACCGATCTGCAGAGCTTCTTCGCCGCTATTTGTCATATAAAAAGAAATGCGTCCCTGTCGTTGAGATTCGTACATAATTTTGTCCATCACACTCAGTGTTATCATATTATGGTACATTTTTAGCACTAATGCATCTTCTAACTTTAATGCAAGAACAATAATTAGTTTCTTGATTTTCTATCATATTATAATTTTTATGATTATAATTATATTATTTATACGATATTTTACAATTCTTTTGTTTAACTCAGGACTTAATATCTACAGTTACAGTATTTGTTGATATGCAGATGATATACATAGCATTATTTATCTAGAATTTTGTAGCATATTTCTTTGATAACTGCACCTTTTCAGGTAATTTAGTTTCTTCCGATGGTTCCATAACCCTGTATATAGGAATGGGTTTGTAAGTTTCATGATTGACAAATTGGATTTTATTCGTAAAGTTACAGTTGACTCCAAGGAAACCTGGTTCATGTGTGTGTTGTTTTGTACTATATTGTTTTATCTAAAAAAAATAATAATAAAATAGTATTAAAAACAGTAAAAAATTTAGAATATTATATCAAATGATACTAAAACTATAATAAAGCACATGATATATTAAAGAATTTTATAGGCAACTATTAAACAGTTTATTAGATTTGGTTTCCAGAATTGAGTCTGGATTTTTCTTAGTCTGTGATGCTCCTCATATTAAATATTAAATATCTTAAAAACAAGTGAATTTAAACTTATCAGAAAATTGTTATTAGTTTAGTGATGTAGAATAGGCTTTGCACCCAATGAAGAAGATATTAGGAATAGAGAAATAAATATTAAATATTAAGCATATTTTATACCTTAAATTAATTATTTTTTATATTTAATATTATATATATTATATTAATATTATATCTTTCTTGTTGCTAATTCGTAATTTACGGTGCGTTTGTTTATTCTGTTCCTTTGCTTTAAATAAAATAATTTCATTCTCCTAGGTTAGGTCACTTAGTATTTATTCCTATTGCAATTGCCTTTCTGAATCACGTGATGCGACTTCAATTTAAATATACTACTTCATGACATAATGATAAAATAAAAGTCATAGAAGCGCATGATAAATCTGTATTCTCTCGAAGAACTTTCTGAACTGGTGCACACTGCACGCTGCAACAAGTTAGAATAAAACAATATATACTAGATTTGAGGCTTTCACGGCCATTGATACAATGACTACCTTGTCTGACAATTACCTTGACAATATATACCTTGTCTCACTCTAATTTATTGCACTGTCGTACACCAACTCAAGAAGTTTTTCGGAAAAAGAAACATTATTTATTTAATATCAATAAATTACATACTAACATATATGTATTATTTAGAATAATTATTATAAATATATATAAATGTATACCTGTAGTAAAACACGTCGGAAACGTGGAATGGTTTGGAATAAGCTCCTTGTGATCATTTTTTATTGTACAAAGTAACGGGAATTGATTAAACAAACAGATTCACGTAGAATTTTTTATACTTTTGACATTTATGTGTACTTCACAAGTTATTGTTACTTTATATATGGCTACATGAGCACACTAAGGTTTTTTCCATATGCTGTTAACCTCACAAATAGCTTATAAGGTTGATTCTATCTTACTATTATTGAATGCGTTTTGTAAAACACTCATAGAGGGCAACAAGTTATTGATTATATATATATGCATACGAAAGATCACGTGACTGTCAACGACACGAGATATGTACTTTTTAGCTGAACCATGTTATCATCTTTTGCCTTTTCATTCTAATATGGAAAATTATACTTATTGCAATAAGTAAATTATACTTATTGCAATAAGTTTATAACTCATTAGTTTAACTTAATTGAATAGTAATGGTTTATTCCTTTTCTAATGTGTATATATTGGCGATTTATTTACACACGTTGTATTGTACTACACTTTTAATGTTATTCATAATAAGAAATTAATTTTCACAAGTTTTGTTATTTCCAAAAGAATATTCGTTGATGATCATAGAATTGTCTTTATTTCCTACATATATTTTTATATGAAGGTTTAATTAATTTTCCCTGTAATGTTAAATCTTGTAATTATTACACATAAAAATAAAAATATGGCAGAAATCTACAAGTGAAGAAACTTCTCTTAAAATTTTAATAAATATCAATCTACAACAAACTTAAACTATTTGAAAAAAAAAAAAAATTATCCCAAAGTATGCAATGAGAAAATTATATTTTTCACTATTCCTAATTCCAGTATATTTATAATCACCAATTTTATAATGGAGGAGAGGAGGGAGGAATAATATCAAATATATCGTGATAGAGATGATTTAATTTATAATTTCAGCATAAGATACTACAATATCAAGTGTAATATCATCGTTCTGCGCTAAATCAGGTTTCGAGTGTCGGGTTTCTTTTTTTTTTTTTTTTTTAATTAAACCTGAAATGGAGAAATTGAAAATTATTTAACATCTGTGTGTGTGCAATGGTACTATTATTGCCACGTACACGATGACAAAGAATATACACGAATGCAAAGATAGATGCGGGAAACGAGATCCGCGTTTCTCGCTTTGTTTCAGACCAAGATCCGTCTATTCGTGCCGGACTGTCTATATAATATCGTACTAATAAGATCGTGAGATATCACATAACTATCATACTCATAAACGAAACAACGATGACGTGAAACTGCTTCCTTACCGCGCACATTCAGCGCGGGACTACGTGTGGCACGTGCAATCCCAGATAGACAGAGATGCTAAACATAGCATGCGTACACTCAATAGGTCTTGTGAAGAACTTCTTGAACTGATGCAACAATATGTACTTCACTCCAACTTATTGCACCAGTTCAGATAGTTCTTCGAAAAAAAAAAAAAAACAGACCTAATGTATACTTTGTGATGCTATTGTAGCAGCACAGCATGTTTAAAATATATTATTCTAAGAGATAACATTTTATTACGCCGTATTTCCTAATTAAAATGTTCACTCTCTTTCTAATTACTATAATAATTTTGTATAGTTAAGTGCGTCCTCTTTTCGACCAAATAAGCATTATTCTTCATGAGATAATTTTTTTATATTTACGGAAAAAGTTCTTGTTATATGAGGACACGTATTTGTGCTAGTCACTGAATATACAATATGCCGAAATACGTCTATCTGGGATATTTCCCTTATGGATGAAACTACAAGAATACGAAAAAACTACTGACATGCTATTGAAAAATTGCAGTTCTTTAATAGTATGCCAGTATTTTTTTCGTATTCCTATAGTTTTTTTCCGTAAGAGTTCCTTCGATCGATCGACTGTGTAAGGGTGTATCTCTCTCTCTCTCTTTCTCTCTCCACCGTCATTTATCCGTCTTTAAATAGTTCAGGTAGAAGAATATAAATACTGTGCGCACCTTCGCGCACCAACGCAGCAGCGGCCTGCGCGAGCGGCTGCACCTGGATAAATTATCGATAAAATTACTTCCTACTAATTTTGCTAGTTCTCAACACTCTTTCCAAGAGCTGAAGTATCCGTCGATACTCTCCATGGGGTAGCACTAGAGCCTCAGTTACGTTCGTGCGTCCTTAAACTCCAGCCGAGCATAGAGGAATGTCATTCTCGACACACGACTCGACCTTAACGTCATATTAGCAACTTAACTGAGACCAAGATACGAAGAGACTCGAGATGTAGTGCTACGTCGTTACGCATATATATATAGTGAACGCTTGTCAACGCTAATCATTTAACTTTTTATAAAAACAGCGAGGATAAAAAGTTAAAGTGATTGGCGACCGTCCTGTCGTGGCGTGCGATTAATAATTAGAGAAAAAAATCGCCACAGGTATACCATAGACCCTTGTTTAGCCATGGACAGCCTCGCTCGGTATACTTCAGAATCGTTGCTATCATTAAAAGTGTTACGCGCTGCGTAACATCGTATAAATTAATAATAATACTTTCCTTTCCCAATCGGGTCGATCACTCGAGGTTAATTTATCAACATATGAACAGAGATGAAATACACAAGGATGACTGGCGCAAAAAAAATAAATAAACTTTCAGTTCTATGAAGGATCATTAAAGGTTCAATGAGTCGTCGAGCAGTTGCTTGAGCTCTTTCAGGTGCTGCATTTTGCTGCCAGTGGCGGGTGACGATGCAGTCGGGCGTCCGGCATATCTGGAAACACCAATACCAATTTCTTATAACATGGAACTCATTTTTAGAAAGTGTGATATGTAGTCATAGCTGAATAACAGAAAGTGAGAAAGCTATAGATGGTGATGATGACAGTCAACGACACCTACTAACGAAAATATAATGCCTCAATATTATTCAAGAAAAACATAAAATACAAGTATTATCACAAGTATTATTACAGTCATATCAATATTAAGATGTGATGTATATTAAGACAATATACATTATTATATCGCGTCAATTGTACAATTACTCTATTGATATTAATATAACTGTAATATTATCTTTATACATTGAGATGTATTTATCAAACAGATATTAAATAAAAGAATTTCACAGCATTCTATCTATGATCATAAATAGAAATGATACTTTAGTATTTTAAATATAGAAATATGGGTTGTCTACTCATACACCAAATAGAAGCAAATTTATAATTAAAATTTTTCGTTAAATTGACGATTTCATGAACACGTTACCTCACTATTCTCTGTTTTGGTTTAGCAGGTTCCGTTGACTGTGGCTCTGACACAGCTGTGGTTTTGGTCGGTTTGGATGACGAAAACAAACCGGCAAACCACCCTCCACCACTCTTACCCGTCTTTGACGCGCCTCTGCAACACACGGCCCAAATTTTTTACTTTATTCGGAAACACGTAGAATAAAATAAATGCAGCTGTTGATAATCTCTTGTAACGATAGAAACAACGTGCTACGAAGAATATGTATATCGATTGCCAGGTTGCGTTACGCGCAACATCTTGTAGTGACAAAAGTAAAAAGATGTGGGCCGTGTGAACAGGTAGATGTACAAGAAGCGAAACGCAATATAATGTAGCAGGTGCACTCATACGCACACATATTCGCAACACTTCACATTCATACTTCCTGACTGACGGTTGCGTTATGTAAACACTTACACTACGTTGCGAGTGCCATTGAGCGCCGTATGGAACCTAGGCTGCACGTAGGTCCATGCGCCCTGGTTCTTGTGCTCCTCCTGAGACCATATCAACTCCGCGTTAGGGTACTTAGCAGCTTCCATCTTCACGAGATCATATGGGAAAGGCGAGATCTATAAAATGCAAAAAATTTATGTAGTTAATTGCTGTAGTAGTTTACGCATGAAATACTGTAGAATTAATATTAAAGATCGTGCCAATGCATACATATACGTTGTAAAAGATAATTATCAGGGAAATCATCCGTCACCTTAGATCATCTTATATTTTTACACAGACGTCGGTTCCTTGTGAGAGCCGGTCTGTCATACATGTATGATGCGCAACAGTGAAAAGATTATAGCCTTGTTTACACCGTTTGATCGTTTAATATACACACATACCAACTAATAACTTCCTACTCAATTACCTTAATTTCTCTCGGCGTTGCGCGTGTAAACAACGGTATATCCAATTGATACGATAAGTCTTTTTGATATATAATACCAGCATAGAACGTCGTGATTTATATGTATTGTCGATGTTCAGATAATTTAATAAAAAGTTACTATTCAGTACATGTGTCGAACGATCGGTGTGCACTAGCATTATTTTAGAAATAGTGACGCGAGAACCAAGTACCTGTTCCACTCTGGCGATTGCGATCTTGTCGTCCAACTGCCGCTCCGCACGGGCTTTCTTTAGATCGTAGTAAACTTTGCCGGAGCAAAACAGCAATCTCTTTACATTGCTGGGGCTGTGAGCAGCCGTACCCTCTTCTGGTATTACTCTAAGGAACTGCGTGTTCTCCAGCATCAAGTCGAAGTTGGACTTGGCCTCCGGATGACGCAGCAGAGATTTCGGCGTCATCAGGATCAATGGTTTCCTGAAAGGTAGCGCAATCTGTCGCCGCAGGATGTGGAAATAGTTGGCTGGCGTGCTGCAGTTGGCGACGATCCAGTTGCTGTCGTGTAACTGACGAACGGCGAACTCTTCGCTCTCCGGCGGGAAATAATCTGGATCGTCAGCGGACATCTGAAGGAAACGCTCGAGACGGGCGCTGGAGTGCTCGGGACCCTGCGATAAAAGGACTATATTTGTATTTGTATATAACGGGCAACAGATCGATTTTGTTGTGAAATTATTTCATAATTAATCGGGAAGATGGTTTTGTAAAATCTGACGTAGATATTGAGTTATGTAATAAATAACTTTGGGTTTTTCGGATGAAATGAAACGATTGTACTTTTATGTCATTATAATGTTATGAAACAATGTATATGCCGTTTTGATTTACAGTCTTCTGCCATTCTTTGTGTGTATATAGCTTCATAAAATGATAACGACATAAAAATATGTTTTACCAGAAGAGAATGCGAAATTATAACCCAATATAAAATGGATATAAAATAGATGCAGACTTACCATTCCTTCCAGACCGTGAGGTTGCAACATGACGAGACCAGATTGTCTCACCCACTTGGCTTGACCGCTGCTGATGAATTGATCGATTATACATTGCGCGGTATTGTTGAAGTCGCCAAATTGCGCTTCCCAGCACACCAGTGCGTTAGGATTTGTCATCGAGTAACCAAGTTCGAATCCTACACGTATTTGCAAAAAAGATTATCTTAATATAGTAGTTTGTATAGTAAAATAGAATTTGAATAAATGTTTTTCATAGTAATATAATTGAACAGGGACTATGGAGATGAAGTATGCCTTACCAAGAACACCAAACTCAGAAAGAGAACTGTTGCACACGGTATAAGGCGCCTGATCAGGGTACAGATAGCAGAGTGGTCTATAAGTTGCCTTGTCAACGGTCTGATGGTGCAACACGTTATGCCTGTGCGAGAACGTGCCTCTCTCCACATCTTGACCTGACAATCGGACATGAATGCCTTCCTTGAGAAGGGATCCGAAAGCCATAGCTTCGCCGAGAGCCCAATCAACGGTTCTCGACTCAATCATCTCCATGCGAGACTTCAGAATACGTTCAATGCCTATAATAAATTATTGTACTGTAAATTTTACCCGTAAATAATTATTTTTAATATTTTTAAAAGTAATCAATATTATTTCTTTTACAATAACACTTAAATAGAAATTTTGCACTTATAACAAAAGATAAATCAATAACAGTTGCCATCTGCAGTAATTTGTTATTTATTTACACTATGAAAAACTGTCTTATGTAAAACATGTATTCGTTGGAGGGTCATTGAACAAAAGAATTTTTTTCAAAATATCAAGGTAACCTAGATTTTTTTTTACGTTTATGTTATTAAGTACTATGTTGTACTAAGTTGTATGTCGTAGATAAAAATACGAATTTAATGATCTGTAACGATATGACGTTGAAGTAACCTTCCTCAAAATATGTATTTTCTCTGTGTTCGTAAAACAATTACTATCTAAAATATTAGTAATAGTTAGTTTCTTGTGCTTATAAACAATTAATTTTCCAAATTCTAAATTATTTCAGGTGGCAGTTGTTATTGACTTTGTATAGTTTACAACTTACTTCTTATTACGTGTCTCTAGTTTTAACATTATTATAATCAGATTTTTCTACTTATCTTTGAAGACGACAATCTCATCCACAACACGCTCACCTTTGTGGACGACAAATTCAGCCGCATTAGGTGGTAGCGAAGAGAATTTCTTCCCAATGTGGACGAGCGTGTCTTCCTTGATACCAGTAGGTGACACCTTCAACGGGTCTTTCCCTTCAAAGAAACCAGACCACGGCGAGTCTAGCCAGTCCTTGTACTTGATGTGCGTCTCCTGTCTGGCATTATTATAAGCCTCCTCGCAGATCTTCTCGTATTTGGCTTTGACATCCTACGACCAACAGTCGCTCTTAGCGCGAGAAAGATCACGTGAACAATCACACGATCATTGCGTACAACTTTGATACCTTCACTTCCTCGGGACTGACAACACCATCAGTGATAAGTGTGTTGGCGTACTTGTCGAGTGCTGGTGGAGTGTTCTTGATCTTGCGGTACATCAGAGGTTGCGTGAACATAGGCTCGTCGATCTCGTTGTGACCGTTACGTCTGTAGGAGACCAAATCGATCACAACGTCCTTATGGAAGGTGGCCCTCCATTCAGCCGCCACTTTGCACACATGCATCACAGCCTCCGGATCGTCGGAATTCACGTGGAAGATGGGCGCGTTCACCACTCTAGCCACGTCTGATAAATGTTAAGCTTATGTTAGTCATCTGTCATTAAGAAAAAAAAAGAAACAGAATAAGACGCAATCTTGTATACATGCACTAACCAGTACAGTACGGCGATGATCGAGAATGCCGTGGGTCCGTGGTGAACCCAATCTGATTATTCACGACGATGTGAATGGTGCCGTGAGTAGTGTAATCTGGCAGGTCGGATAGATGCATTGTCTCGAAGACAATGCCTTGACCGCAGAAGGCAGCATCTCCGTGCAGCAGAATGGACATAACCTGCGAGACGTATAAACAATGTGATGTCCACTCAAACAAGTTATTACATATCCGTGAAAAATTCAGATACAATCAGAATTGTATACGATTGCATATAATGACTTGAACATATAATTGGATGTACGTGTAACAATGTTTTTTAGTACTTTTTCAACTCTGATATGACTCCCAATAAGCTGATTTTTTATCTACTGAAACAATGTAAAGTTACGTTATGCAATACAGAATAAATCTTCTCAGTTTCAGACCCTATTCATTCTTACGTTATGCAACGATTTGTCATAAAAAAGATATCCTTGGCGTTTATATAACTAAGCCTCTTTACTTTTTTGCCTTCGCCATCGCCTCGGTAGAACTGTTCGGCGCGAGTTTTGCCTTGGACCACCGGATCCACAGCCTCCAAGTGCGACGGATTCGCGACCACAGCAAGTCGAATGTTCTTGTTCGTCACGCGATTGAGACGCTCGATATACGTGCCCAAGTGGTATTTCACGTCGCCGGAGCCCTAAAATGTGACGCAGAATTCTCGGGTCAATAAAGTAATTACGACGATTACGGCGTAATTTTACAGCTATCAAGCTGTGACGCTCGTGTTTAATACTTACATCATCAGCGGCTTCGAGAGCGGCGAATTGCGTGAATATTTGGCTCAACGGCTTGCGGCAGACATTAGCAAGAACATTGAGACGACCACGGTGTGGCATACCCATGACGATCGACTCGACTCCCAATTCCGTGGACTTGTCGATCACTTGCTTCATAGCTGGAATCAAAATTTCGCAACCTTCCAGACCGAATCTCTTCTCCGACGACCATTTGCGCGCCAAGAATGCCTCGAATCTGCGTCAGATTGAAAGACACTCATTGACTAAGTTTCTCAGATGTTAGTCCAACGGACGTAGAATTGCGAGAATCCAATTGCAAACTCCAAACCATATCCATGTCTATTCGTTACAACTTTCTTTTGAATAGAGCGACCGTGAAGAAGTCTACAAGTGTCTCGTACTTAGATCATATAAAATAAATAAACAGAAAAATAAAACAATAATATACAGAAATAAATAAGTGAATCAAACGCCAGGCCCCTTTTTGCTTCATACAAATTTGATTTTTTTTTCTCTTTTAGTTTGTACGAAATTTGTGATCTTGGTGTTAGCGCGATTTTTGGAATTTGAGGCCGCGATATTCGCGCTGATCTTATTACCCAGTTGCACGCGTCAGTCTGGCCAGGATGAGTCTCTTCTCGTCGTTGGTCACCTCCATGATCCCAGGCGTCTCCATCTTCTGTCTGATCCAGTTGCATTGCTCCAAGGAGTTTATGAACATGAACTCGACGCCGATGTGACCGCAGTAGGCGGCCTCGAGTCGCTTCAAGATCTCGCGCAGCGGCAACGATTTCTCCTTGCCGCCGATAAACGTGGTCGATGGCAACTTAAAGACACGATCCATGTCCGACTCCTCTGTTTTAAGCGATGGAATACAGAGAAACACATATGTTTTACAAATACCCTCGGTGGCTGACTAAGAAATGACTAAATGCCGCAGTTCTCGTAGGTGCACAAAAAACTGCGGCATTTATTTCTCACAAATACTCCGCTTGGCATAAAATAAGTATTATGCAGTCGTAAACAATTATGTGAAACGAGTCAAGTGTACCCGCGAATCTCTTTCAAAATTCGTTCTTTTCAACTTCGTTCCAAAACTGATACTGAAAATGTGTATTTTATGTAAAAAAGGATTTTGCCTCGGAACTTTCGCTGATTAGTCAATGTGTCAACAGTATAAATTAATATATTTACAATTAGTTTCGCACGATTTGAATTCAAGGAACAAAACAATTAGTATGCCACATGTGCAAATTGTTTTTCTAACAGCAATATCGCTCTAGTGTTCACATTGTAAAGTATTCGTCGAAATGTAAACATGCAGTATAATTTTGCGAGATACGTGGAGTGTACTGTACGGCCACGATATATCACAATATTTGCGAACACAGCGCAAACAAGTAGTAAATTCGCAGAGAAAAACAAAGTTCTCAGATATAGATAGAGACGGAAGCCGTGAGTTCAGAAGTAAAGCATGTGTCGTTAAAAAGGATCATAACATCATCGGGAAAATGAGACAGAAAGTAGAAAAAAAAAGAAAGAGTTGAAAGTTAAGAAACATAATGTTAAGGGGATATGTCGCAAATAAATCGATATTATCATGATATAATTGTACGAGTAACACAACACACGGAGAGGAAAGAAAGAACATACGTCAGAGAATTGAAGATAATACACACAGCACGTCAATTTGTTACAGAACAACATATTCGGAGGTGAGAGAGATAGAAAGTTAGTTTGTCATTTTTATCGTATAATCTGCTTGGTGTTCTCTAACAATATATCTTCATTATAATATCACCAATTGTTTATCGCATATCTCAATAAGTAACGTGTTTCCTGGCGATAAGTTCCCAGGCCCGCATATGCGTGTATGAAAGCGAAGAAAATAATGAAGAACCCAAGCACCTTTGTAGTCACTTAAAATAGTACTCGAACTTTGTGCAAAGACCAGTGTTTCCCGACAATTCGTTGGCAGTGAAAGAGAACCTTACAAAAAAAAAAACGGACACTTCAGATGGTGATCATTACATACGTTTCATAAGGGTCGATACCCGGTATTGGAGTTCCTGCGAGTAAGTGGTGCGTGGTCTCTTCCCTGTGGACATTAGACTCAAACTCAACAGTCGAATCGAATACCGATTCCCAAAGAAGACTCCTCGTCTTTATTCGCTACTCATATTGTTTGCTGCGTGTTCAGTTTCGTATCTGTTCGTCTCGGGCGAACAGGAAAAATTCCAGAAATTTACCGATGAACTTGGCGAAATCCCCGTTTCGTTCAAATCAAATGGAAATTTCCCACTACGATAGCATTCTCGTTTGCTCGTCGATACTCTCATTATTACTGATTATTATATCTAGGCAAACCAGTCGTGTTACGTTCGCAGGATGAGAACTAAAGATAAGTGGAGTCGTGGAAAAGTGCGAGTGGAAGTAATAAAGTACTGGAAGCTGCTAAATTATACTGAAAGAACTAATCAGTAGACTGAATTAATAATACGGTAAATTAAATAACAAGCAAAGCTTGATAGATACATTCCATTGTGCGTCACCCGAGGCAATACCGATAAGATTCATTCTTTCGACATTGACGAGTTAATTATGTGAGAAGAAGAAAACGCTAAGCGCATCTTAAAATATTTCACGTCGAGAGGATACATTATATCAAACGTATTTCGCGCAATAACAATATGCAAATCTATTTCTTATATGAATAATTAATACTTGAAAATGTGTGTTCGAAGATAAAAGCAGTCACGATCGCATTACCGATAGTCTAACTGATTAGTAATCTCCGAATCGATCAAGTGACGTATTGTTGCCAATAAGAGTCGGATTTTACATTTCGCTCTGTCTTATTAATGCAGAGACACGTTCATTTAGGCTTACCGAATGAATAATGGTTATACAGTAATTCTTGCGGGTGTCTATCGTCAAGATCAGCGCTGTTGATGCCGAGTGGATCCAATTTAGCGATATGATGGCCACGAATCTGTCAATTTAACGCCACATTCATACGAACTAGATAGATAGTATTGAAGTTTTCATTGCATATTAATAGCGCAGTATATTATTAAGTTAAATTACTGTGTGTTTGATATTTCATTTACTCTCCCTTAGAATATTCCAACACAGTACAACGAAAAGGACAATACGATGCAAGTTATTGTTATGTTTTCTTACAAAAAATAATTACAAAAAAAAAAGACACCATATCACAGCAATTAAAAACATACGCGCGTATATAAATATTAGTATATAAAGTGTTGAACGATGTACAACAAGTTTATGTTATCTGATCCTTAATTTCTCTTATATTACCAATGCTTTGTGCGGTGCTTTTCGTTCGATTATAAAGCAAGAAATAATGCGAGTGGTTTTTTTTACCATTCCCCTGTTATGGCAGTAGTCAGGAAGAAAAATAATCATCAGATAGTTAGAAGAGAAAATTGAAATTGACAGGCATGTTGAATGACAAAATGCAGGTGTTCAAAAGCGATACACATGTAACAGCACATACGAGGTATGCATGCGAAACCGACAGCAATTTTCTTAATCTTACCTGTGACGTTTTTACTCACGTAGAAAAGCAACACACATACCTATGTGTATAGCGATTTGTATTCTGTCAAGTAAAATAAATTTTACACTCGACAATTTTCATCGCTCACTCGATGAGAACGCATATATAAGCACGCGAATAATTGCGTACCCAGTTGTCGATTATTATGAAAAGATGACACGAAGAGAGTTCCAGGATTCCAAGAATGATGAAAAATGTTTCACGTTTATACAAACATTTTCAGTATCAGTGTGAATTTGTCATAATATATAAGGCTCATTTGACACATCATTTACAACGCACAGTATAACATGAGTTGAAACTGATATTACAGACAGTATAACTACTCTTACTGAGAGTATAACTCTCTCTCTCTCTCTTTCTAAACTACTTAAAAGAAGAAAATTTAATTACGAAGTATTTCAATATTGGAAAGCAACAGAACAGAGAAAACTTAACAAGAAAAATCTCGTCAGGATTATAAAAAGGTGACCAATTTTCTCTTTTCTTTCTTATTTGACTTTATAAATTTTACTTTAATCGTATCTTAAGATACATTTCACAAAGTGATGATTGCGCTTTAAAAACGATATCATCGCGAAACAAAAGAGTGCCCTTCTCAAAGAAGTATATTCTTGTGTCCAAGAAAATAAATTGCAAGTAAGATGTTATGTAAAAATGATGATATATGAAATGATAATATACTGAAAGCGCATTAGGAAAAGCTGCTTTGACGAATGAGGTCCCAAAAAAAAAAAGAAAAAAAAAAACAAACAAAATAATTTGCAACTCTTTTGTACGTAATTTTATATAGGCCACACATATAGTCCAAACCAATGTGATATGATAACTCATACACCTCTGTCGTATGTATGAAGAGAAAACCAAATGTCTAGAATAAAACAGCCCGTGAGAAAATGCTTCAGGGATAAAGCCTTACCAAGCATGTATTGTCGCAGCACTTGTTCTGGGGACCCTTTGCGGGCGGCGTAATGTGTGTGTATCAGGTCTGTTTGCATGATACCCAGGGGATCCAAGTCGGCAACTAAGTGACCTCGAGCCTATACGCCAAACGAATAATCCCGAAAAAAACTTTTCACATTTATATCGCTATGCTTAACTTCGAAACTGCGCTACACACTACAGTTGCAAACAGAGAGAATAAACACGAGACAGTGTGGCTGTACAAACAGAATCGGCAAGCATTCTATCTCTACACTGTGATCTTTACATAGTAAGGATACTTGGACCGTATCCGGAAGATTGGATGTCTGCTCTCGTGTCGCTCTCATAATTTTAACTTGATTACATGAAAATAAATGATCAAATATTGCGCTACATATCAAATAATTTTCATAACTTTAATCAACTTCGACCGAGGTCGAGGAAGAAATTTTTACTGCTGTTCTTTTCTCAACGTTGGTAAATATCTGAAGTAATTAGAATACGAATATGAGACAATTGGAAAGACCGTATCGTCATCTTTGCTAAGAAAAATGTGGAGCTGCATGCTTGAGATCAAATACGCAGTGAGGCTATTATATAATACTCGAGATAATCGATATATGATCATAATCACACTTGCTAATTGTGCCAACTGCATTCCTTATGTAATTTGTCGTGTGTTGATAATACATATGAAAGATGTGAAAGATGCTAGAATTTTTGGAGAACACATACAATAGCCCCTAACAATAAACAAATTTTAACTTCAATATATTTCGTGTGTGTTGTGTCCCAGCTTCGTATTGACATATTCAACATGAATTTGTGTAAAGTTCATGCTGTATATGACTTTGTACATATATATGTACGAACATAAAGTTTATATTATATAAAAAATTTTCCTTTTTGCTTAATTTTTTTACCCTTTTTTTATATAAGCGAGACTGGCACACAAAAATTGACTTTACATGCAAAACTATATTTGAAACTTCTGAAATTGTATACAAGACGCGCGTATATATGCATGCGAACATATGTCTGACGAGGAAATTTTAACGCATGCCACAGTAATATCCGCAATACATGAATAAATTACAAAAATTGACATATCAATATATTATCGCTTTTCTTTAAAATGTAATGGTAGCAAGCTGAGAATTCTTTTATTGTTCTTAAACATGTAAGGATATTTAACATGATCAGATGTCAAAATCGACAAAATCGTGTGATAAAATCGACAATTTAACTACTGAGATTACCATTAAAGCATAGCATATATTTTTATTCACGTAGATTTTAATAGATTAATGCATCGCGTTTAAGAAGCATTCTTTCAAGCTCCTACTTAGAATACTAGATATGTTAAAAACAGAACAGAAAGTATAAATCGCGACTGTTTTTAAGAGAAGAGCAAAACTTGTTAAAGCTCACAGTTAAAGTATTGTGAAAAAAAAAAAAGAAAAATGTTCGATACATCAAATCATGTTCTTCGTTACGTAAAGTTAAATAAAATGTCTCTTGCAAGCGAGGTAATAAAATCGGCGATGACTAAAAATTATCATTATTCATACATATTTTCGGTGCAATATCGCGGGATAAAACCGCCACGTACAAGATGCTTGTTTGCAAGAGTTATTACGCTGAAATTCGCGGATGTGAAGGTGAAGCAAATAAATTTCGGCATGCCACACGTACCTGATAAGAACGAATGATAGCCTGTACTGCTAAGTGATCGTCAATAATTTTCTCATTGACAGGCATTTGGCCGATCTGCGTTCCAGCCAAGGGCAATAGCGCTCCAAGCGGCACCTGGTTGTAACTTGGAGCGAGGGATGGTGGTGCCTGATATGCGAGCCCTGGTGCAGCTCCAGCAGTGCTGCTTCGAAAGAAGGAATCCCATGACTACAAGGAAAGAGTAAACATAAATTGGAGGATATTTCAGATATGCAATGATATAAATGAGCATCTCATAAGTAATTGCTTCTCTTAGCAGCACTACATTCTATAAAATTTAAGATATAACAATCAGAACACAAACAGGGGACAAAATACTAGTTGTATATACTAGTTGTAAATACTAGTTGTAAATACTAGTTGTAAAACGGAACTTTTTTTGCATAAAAAATACATATATGTTACAAATAAAACTTTTTTTCACAAATTCTGTTTCACAACCTGTGGTCGGGCTCATATCTGTCTCTCTTCTTTTCTTCTCGAGTTAATTTTCTTTCAACTTTAAGGAAATAATATTAGAAGTATAATAATATAATATATATTTTTGCATCTTGCCTGTTGAAGCAATTTAAACTCTGATTTTCACAAGCAATTTCCATTTCACAATTTCTCAACTTACAAATATATATTGTTTCAAAGGTACTCACAACATGCACGCTGCTGGGATCTTGCAGCCACGCGTTGTACATCTCTTCAACGTAAGAGCTGGAGCTGCCATTTAGAAAGGGTTCGGTCGCTACGCGGCTGTTGTACTTGCGCGTGGCTTCGGTGAAGATCACCTGGCTGGTCCTCGTCAACGGGTGACTGCGGACCACCCAGGATGCGTATCTCTCGGGCCCACATATGTTCGGCGCCAAAGGGGCCAGTCTGCTGAACAACGTTCTTGCCTTATACATCTTTTACCTGAAACGCACAACACAGTAAAACGTGACTCGTGTGTCGACCTCAATTCAACTGTAATTCATCTTCAACGGCGGGGAAGAAGGAGTCGTCGCTTTATCGTAGAAAACGCCGGTGACACGGGAAGGATGTGGATAAGGCGCAAAAAATGCGCAAAACGCGGACAAAGAGATAAGAGAGATATACTTCATATTTTACGCATCAGCTAAACTGATTAAGCGAGCGCGTTATCTGAAGATCGCATCTGTAGTCAGCTCAAGCATATCGTAAGTGGCTCGCAGATCATAAACTACTAATGAGGGGGGCACAAATACAATAATGAGGATACAAACACATCCTGATAAGCGCACTAATATATGTTGTGCTCATCTCGGCCCGGCGTGTACCGTCATAATCAGATTTACCCGGTGTTATCTGCTGCTATCCGCTTATCACACCCTCATGCGTCATCCAAGTTCTAGACTTTGCCTGCATATCATATTCATTGAGTGCTCAGACATGTAGGGAAAGATCGTCTCGCAGTTATGTAAACAACTACGTTGATGTCTCTGGGGTTCTGCATAACGCAATTATGCGCACGCGCGTATGTGTGTGTATATGTATACACACATTCGTATACACACACACACACATATCTACCTTTGGTAAGTGTGAATACGTATGTGCGTGTGAGAGTGCATACACGAAGAGTGATACTAAATAAAGCTCCAGTGAATTTGTGTATCTACGTTCTCATAGGAACACCTCGATGCTACACTTCGGTCTCGGGTATATAGATCGCAATTGCATCACTAAATTCATTTGACGCAACGCGTCAAATTCAAGATAAATGTGTGATGAAACCGATCGATATCGGCGTACGAGCGAACAGATGACTGTACTTTGCGAATTGCAATAATGGATCGTCACGAATGTGACTAATTCCGTTCGTACTGATATCATTAATATATGCGCGACAATCGGCATGTTTTTATTTCTCTTGTACCATATTGTAGTGGTAGAGAGCTGATGCGTTTTATCGTCTGCATCATAAATATTCAGTCGTCAAAGTTCTATTTTAAAGAAGAGTTGGCGATCCTCCAGATTGCGTAATGCGTTCCTAAAAGAAAAATTTCATCGAGCGTACCACGGAATTTCGCAAAGTGTCTAAAACTCTTGTTGAGAGTACACGATGTGTACACTTTTGCCTGGATATATATGTATATATGAGATTGTATATTATCTTAAAAAATTCTCGTGACGACCGGTGGAATTGAACGATCGACAAAATCGACATTGCTATCTAAAGTATGAGGTGCGCAAGAAAGAATATAAAGAATAAAGGTGTCGTATGTTGGGATACGCATCAACTAAAATCTTCGCACTATCAATGTTAGACGTTGCCTTTGATAAGCTCTGATAGACGTCGTTCTGTCTGGCGCATATGTAATTCATCTTTTTTTAAGATAATGAGGCGTTTTAAAACGTAGCTCTTTCTTTAATAGAAGAAATAGCGGTTTTCAGCTGTAGTACAAAAAGAAGAATTCTATAACTTCTATTTAGCACTAGACAACAACCAGATTGAAATTCAAATAGCAATACTGAATATTTATGGGCACTGTGACGACAATTCAAACCTTGGAAGCGATTTTTAATTATATGGAGTCAGAAACAAAATAAATATGGTACCGCAATATATTGTATTTTGATTTATTTGATAAATAATTTACGAAATCATTAAATTATCAGTAATTTAAGAAATCATTAAACGTAATAATAGAAATTTAATTGAATAAAATTTAAAAGGAATTAAGAATAATTTAAGAAGTCATTAAGAAATTATTAAGAAATGTCTACATCAAAGTATTATTCTATTTCTAAGAAAAGCAAATATTTAGTTTACTTTCTTGCTTTTTATTCTACTGTTTATATCAGAGTATACACAGAAATCATTCTACTGCTAAGAAAAGCAATTTATTTTCCTGTTTTTAATATGCGATATGAAGGTCATGAATCCGTTGTATTGCTCTTTTTCTTCAAACTTCTTCATTATATATCACAAGTTGTCATACAAATATCAACGTCGTTATAAAGCGAGTCACACTTGTTGCTTTGAACGATTAAAATGCAGAAAAAGCATAGGAAATTGCGATTAAAGAGAATCTATCGTGTCTCAATGATTCTCGGTAAGACACTTTCGAATGAAATCCGACGATCGCCAACCTCATTCACGCAGCTGTAACAACGCTACTAGGAAAAATCTGGGAGTCTGAGTCACTCTTCGCGATAAGATCTCGGTGAAATTACGGCGGCGGGAAATACCGAACCACGTCGAGACGAGCGCTGTCAGTCGCGGTCTACAATAAATGTATTTTAAGACTCTCTCTTTCTCTCTCAATATATGGCTCCAGGTATCATTCCGATTTATCCCCCAACGCCATTTTACCAGATGTTTTAAAACGCGAGCCTTAAGAAACTGACCAATCACAATCGACTATTACAAGAATAATCGACCGTGACTGATCGATTTCTTAAAGCATAAGGTTTAAAATATGTATTGTAGACTAAGTTTTGCGTCCGCGATGTAGAGATGGACGAATTTTTAATAAATGAGGGATGACAGACAGAAGAAAAGCAAGAATGAAGACAGTAGAATGAAAAGCAAGAAAGTACACTAAATATTTGTTTTTCTTAGAAGTAGAATGATACTTTGATGTAGATATTTCTTAATGATTTCTTAATGATTTCTTAAATTATTCTTAATTCCTGTTAAATGTTATTTAATTATATTTTTAATTATTACGTTTAATGATTTCTTAAATTACTGATAATTTAATGATTTTGTAAATCATTTATCACAAACGGCACGACTTACAGTTGAACGATGATACTTTATTCTGTGAGCTGTAGGTTGCTCTTAAGAGCTAAGACAGGCGGATGAGAACTAAGAACTGAACTCATTGGACTTATGCCCGTTTTTATGAACTTCGGTTAACTTTACCGGTTGGTTATTCCAATCGAATTGATCAATTGCACTTCTCGTTAGTCAGAATTGACAGATGCGATTGGTGTAAATTCCGTTGGAAGAACCAGCTTGTTAAGTTGGTAGAAACGGACATCAGAGAGGTTGCTTATATTTCGCCGGTGTGACTACTTTTGAAAGGCTTTTTTTGATTATCGTATCTTAAAGATTCTATGGCGTTTTATTTTTTAATCTGTCTGTCCAGTTAACTATGGCGGCTATTTCTGACTATCTCTATCTATTTTTAAGGTTCTAGGTGAGGAGATCGAGTAAAAGGATTCTAAGGAATTTAATATTATGGTAAAAAGAAATTTAATATCATGGTAAAAATAATTTCTGAGGAATGTGTCGGCACAGCGCGCGGAGATATGCCGCTCCTGAGCAAACGTGGTCTTGCGCGTTGTTGCTTAAATGTCACATCAGTATGACAGGCGGGAGGCGCGCAATATCGTGGAACATCTATCGCGTGGATTACACAACGCGCGATTACACCTCGATTTTTGCGCTTTTTCAGTTGCGCTACGTTCTGCGGTCGAATTGATAGGATTGTGTGCTTCGAGCTTAGAGACAAAGACAGAGGCCGAGCGAGGGACAGAGGGAGAGAGAGGAATGGGAAAAATTGCGGAAAAGCAAAGAGAAGGGGAGCACAGACCTTGTACGAGTTATTTCTTCTTTTTTTTAGTTGTACCGTTTGTATATTTTTCGTGTGCTTGAAGCAAAAATAAGAAAAACGGATCATGCCCGTTCGTTTCAGCTAAAGACTTTTTTTGCGTTTGAAATAAACGAATAAATATACACATACACAAATACACACACACATACAGGATGTTATCTTTCCTCCGCTTACTAAGTACAAAGCGTTTTATTCCTTATAGAGATGTGAAAGTCCTGAGTCATTTTGTCAAAACTAATTCTCATTTATGGTAACTTTTCAACATTTAATATAAAACATATCTTTATAGTTAAGTCCTAAATTAAAAATCCATTCAAAGAAAATCCGCTTGAAATTAATCGAAGTAGATTTGCTATCCACTTGGTCGTCCGAAGCATAGTTTGCGAAAAGTCTTGTTTTTCCGATTGTTGTATTTTGTAAATTACTGACATCTCGACATTTTCTCGTTCGTACTTTCCGATTCAAATTTTCACGAGAATGCTATATACTTAGTGGGCGGGGGAAAGATAACACACTGTGTGTATATATATGTGTCGTTCAGACGGAAAAAGAAGGCTGAAGTAGCAGCTGAGATGAATACAGATTGCGCGCATTGGCACGTAGAAGATGAAGGACACGTGCAAAAAGCTTAAGGAAGAATTCACATCTTGGGCTGGCAGAAAAGGGCAAAAATTGGCAACTGCTACCCGACTACGCACGAGTTTTATAGACCTAGGTTGCATTCTAAAACCTTCTTTTTGAGCAAAATTGTTCTCAGAATCCTAATTCAAATTCCTAACGACAATGGCAGACAATGTCGTTCCGCAGCTTTTCTACGACGTAGCGATAACCACATTGGCTTTCAAAATTACAGAATAGACTTGTTAACGGCTTCTGCAAGTGTGAATTCTTCCTAACCTTTCGTAAGGGCCTTTGCACGTAGAAAAATTTTAACCGTAACCGTAAGGTCGTAAGAAAACTGACCAATCACAGTCGATTATTCCTTGAACGCAAGGAGAATAATCAACTCTGATTGGTCAGTTTTTTTACAACCTTACGGTTACAATTTTTCTACGTACAATGGCCTTAAGCGCGCGATCTACAGATGTAATCTGAAGGCTACGGTCTTTATTCTGAACTGTTTTTTGTCGGTGAAAGCGCTTCGAATTTGTTTGCTTCTACCAACATCGATTAAACTTTAATTTGAATTTAAACTTCGGTTAAGGTAGAATCGACACTGCTGTAAAAATGTGCATAAGTGTGCTTATGAGCCAATTACAAAGTCATGAGTTAGTAGACTGAGTACTTAGAAGTATTTTTATACTGATAAAAGTTTTAATTTTATGTATTTTCGAAAAGAAATATATATATATATATATATATATATATATATATATATATATATATATATATATATTTCTTTTCGAAAATACATAAAATTAAAACTTTTATCAGTATAAAAATACTTCTAAGTACTCAGTCTACTAACTCATGACTTTGTAATTGGCTCATAAGCACACTTATGCACATTTTTACAGCAGTGTCGATTCTACCTTAA